TTTTTCTATCACGTGTATGTGGGTCCAGTTTTTGTTCAATTCTGAGATTTTTACATCTTCAATGCTTTGTCACTGCACGGTCCATCTGAGGTTTAATTAGCTGATAGCTCAGAACATTTTTCCTGAGAAGTGAGGTTCTGTATTGATAGCATCAAACCTAACAACTGTTAGCCAAGATCGTGAAATTCTGGCTGAATGTGCTCACTGATAATCAATTTACCACAGTAAGGAAAAGTACCAGTTGTCCTGAATTATGTCCAGATTTTAAGAATTTAAATAAAATGAATTGTTTCCCGATGAATAAGGAGAATTACTTTTTGGATTGAGAATGAAAAGGTGACTCGCGAATCCAGAAACTAGGATTGATTTTGTCAATCGAGACGTCTTTTTGAAAAGCGAGTATAAACGAAGTATTTCACAAATGAGGTACTTTCTACGATGAAACTATTGAGATCGATTCAGAATTATTGCGACACTGAAATATGTAAGTAAACGTACAACTAAATGGCGAGAATTTCTGATTTAAGAACTGAAGTCTTTCTTATAGATTTTGAACTATTAGTATATATAACCGTATGAATGCGAGTGTAATTAAGGATTTACACTACTCGTGATATTTGAAAGAATTTTTAAATATCACGAGTAGTGTAAATCCTTAATTGCTAGAGCTTTCATACGACCACTAATTTACAATAGGACTGAGAAAATTACGAACACGCGCGCGTTAATTTGCACTGCACTGCAAACTGTAAGAATTAACGAAAAATTGGACTGCTCTCAGCCAAACACAGTGAAGTAATTTTCTCAGTCATATAAAAAAGTGGTTACCTTGAGCTTAAAAGTGATTGGCTTGTCGACAAAATCCATTTTGCAGGTGATCTTGCTGCAATCGTCACTAATGGTTCATCCGTCTTTGAGGGTTTTTCGGGAACCCGTGCTACAGAGAGCGTCAACTAAAAAGGAATTGAGACTAGTTTATCACGTCTAAGATACCAGCAAGACACTTAACACTCACAGTGCCTCTCTCCACCCAGGTGTATAAGTGGGTACCGGCGAATTTAATGCTGGGGGCAACCCTGCGATGGACTAGCATCCCATCCAGGGGGGAGTAGAAATACTCCTGGTCACTATTGAAACCGGAGGTAAGCGCTGGCCTGATGGGCCACTTGGCTCACATACTGACTTTGCCTTAACTGAGATATCAGAAGCCCTTCTGGAATAACTTTCCAAACAAGGGGCAACACTGAGAAAAAGAATAACATAACAAGCCAGAACAAGTCGTGGTGACGTAATGTATTCGATGCTCACGAACTTCTCTCTCCATCCACCGCCTTTGTAAAGTTTACATTAAGTTTTACTAGCCATTTCAAACAGGTTACACTCCTTTATGGAAACCCGAAAGTAAAGCGAAACCTAGAGTTTTGCGTGGTCATCCTTACTTCTGCATGGTACAGTAAAAACCCGCATAAAAGAAC